CCCATCCCAGCCCCGCCCTGACCTCGTCGGGGTGCAGCGAGGCGAAGGAGTCCAGGGTGGTGTCGGAGGAGACGGAGAGGGAGTGGAAGCGGCGCAGGGCAGCCTGCAGAGGCAGGGGGAGGCTGAGCTGAGCCCCCCGCCCCCAGCCTGTCCCCTTCAGCCAGCACGGGGCTGACAGAGAGGGGGGGATCACCCCGCTGCTGCCTGGGCACCCAGCACCAGGCTGAGACCCCGCGAACTCACTGCACCCACCGGCACCCCAACGGCAACAACCCCCAGGCCCTGGTGGGACCCAAAGCTGGGGGCAGCCCTGCTTGGCTCCCCCCCACCCCCCAGCAGTCCCTCACCCCGGCGTTGCCGGCACTTCCCGGGCGCGGGGTTGAGCGTTGTCGGTCCAGCGCCTGCCGCATCTCCTCCAGACGGGCCCTCTCAGCCGTCAGCGCAGCTACCACGCTGCTGAGCGAGCCGTGCACTGCCGGGAGAGACGGGGCAGGCGGTCGGGCACCCGACCACCCGCCCTGCCACCACCAGGACCCCCGGCGAGGCTCAGCACCCCCTTGCTCCATCCCACCTTTCTGGGCCAGGACCCAGAAGCTCCTCTGCAGCTGGCTGTACTCGGGGGGGAGGCTGAAGGGCAGCTGGCTCTGGGACGGCTCCAGGTAGCGCGAGAGGTTGGGGACGGAGCCGTGCAGGCGGCCCACCTTGGGGGGGGGGGATATGGGGGTCAGCGGGGTCGCAGGGGGCTCCGTCCCTGGGCAGTGGCTCAGCCAGCGGCCGCCAGAGTTTGGCAGGACACCCGCTCCTCCTCACCCTGCCGATAGTGTCATCCTTGGCGAAGCTTTGGGTGCACCAGATCTTGGTGGTCCTCCTGCCCTTCTTTGGCCTCTCCGCAGCGGCTGAGGGCTGTAAGCAAGAGGAGGGGGCTGGTGCCGGACCCTGCACAGGAAGGGGGAGGCTGCCACGCTGGGCGATGCTCAGCTCCCGTGCCCGCCGCTGTCCCGCTTACCTGACTGCCGGAGATGAGAGGGGCCGAGGGGATGCGGTGCAGGGCCTCCAGGCTCTGCAGCATGCCAGTCAGCTCCTGCAGCTTCGCCTGGCACTCCGACAGCTCTGCGACGGGCACAGAATGAGCCCGGTCAGGGATAGGGGATAGGGTATCCCCTCCATCCCATTCATCCCTTCCCGTCCTGCTCACCAGCCGAGCAGCGCTCCAGCCCCTCGCTGTCCTTCAGCCAGGCGTTCACCTTGTCCCGGGAGCTGGCGAGGGTGGAGAGGGCAGGGGCACTGCCCGAGGGCAGGATCCGTGTCCACTGGCCCTGCAGCAGGGGAGAAGGGGCACCAACGGGGCTGCCATCAGGAGCCCCGTGCCCCGACACTGCTTTGCAACATCACCCCGAGGTGTCACCCACCTGCGCGTTGGTGGGGGTCCTCCCCATGGGACCCCCCCTGGGGCAGGGCTCGGGCCTCTCGCCCTGGTGATGGGAGCAGAGGCTGCTCACCCAGCTGGCGAAGAGCTCTGGGGACTTGATCTGTGGGACAGGGGCAAGTTGGGGGGGGACATGACCCAATGTCCCCAGCCCCGTCCAAGTCCCAGCCCCGGCTCCAGCCCCCACCATCACCTTGAGGTGGTAGATGTTCTCCTCCGTGTCTAGGTCAACCCGCTGCGCCTTCTTGTTGACAGACATGACGGACTGACGGATGTCGATGGCTCCATGCAGTTTGCCCTTGAGGACCTGGGGGAGCCCAGAGATGCCTGTCAGGGCGAAGACCCCCTTCCTCATGGTGGCCATGGGGTCTTCCCCACCCTGAGCCCACGGGGAGGCTGCATGGATGCAGCCCAGCCCCACACTCACGTCCTGGCGTGTGGTGGCATATTTCAGGATACCATTTTCCAGCACGAAGTACCTCTGGGAACAGAGAGGGACGATTGTTGCGGACAGGGGTGGGCAGAGACCGGTCCCTGCAGCCCCCCTATCCGGGGGCCCAAATCACCCCAGGGCTGGGCACGGCACCCAGGACTGGCCGGGTGCTGGCTCGCAGTGCTGGCTCTGCCCGTTACCTTGTGCCAGCCCTTTAGGGGCCATTTTCTCTTCTTGAGCAAGTACCCCTCATGCCGCTGCGGCTCCTGGCCCGGGCTGCCCTGCGTCCGCGGCTCCTCCACCACCTCCCAGCTCTCCGAGCCCTGCGGGGACAGGGGTCAGCATTGGGGTCCCTCGGCACCAGGGGTACTGGGGTGCTCCCTGCCTTGTCCCCAGCCAGGGACCCCCAGGGGATGGGGCATCTCTATCACCCTTCCTAAAGTGGGGTGAAGCCCCCCGAGGCCTCATGGTACCCCAGGCCAGCCTGCGTGCACCACTAGGATCCCGCTCAGCACCCCCCCCCAAGCCCGGAGCCCCCCAACCTGCTGAACGCTGCTGTGCTTGGAAGACACGGTGCTGTTGGAGCGCGACAGGGCCCTTTTTGGAGAGGACGAGTCCTTCTCGTGGCTGCCCATGGCTGGCAAGCAGAGAGGGAGGGGGGGACCAGGCCAAGCCCCCCCTCCCGTCCCTGCTGTGGGACTGGAGGTCCGACCTCGGCTGTCACAGCCTGGGCAGTGGGTGCCACTGTGAGGAATGGATGCCACGTCAGGGAGCCCATGGAGGGCATCACCCACCCTGCCCGCAGGTTTCCTGCACTGCCAGACACCTTCATCCATCCCTTCCCTCACTGGGACGAGGGGTGGGGGGGGGGATCCTCCTGCCCCCCCAGGAGCAGGGAGCCTCACACATGACTGCGTCTGGGACCCAGAAGCTTCTGCGCAAGACGAAGCCTTCGACCCACCCAGCCTTATCTCGCTGCCTCCATCGCCCGGCCCTTGCCTGCCCGCCACCCGCCTCGGCGGGTCCAGAGTCCATCCCTGCCGCCCCGCTCTATCACCCCGAGGACTCGGTGCCGTGGGACAACCCCGCGGCGGGCACAGCCAGGAGAGCGACCCGGGGTACAGGCGTCGGGATCAGCCCTGGTCCGTCCCAGCACCCCAGAGGCAGGCCATGCTCCCTCCCAGTAAGGTGTTCCCTTTGCCCTTCTCAATTACAGGAGGGGGAAACTGAGGCACGGGGAAGCCCCCCCCGTGCACCTTGCGGGTATCCAGGCATCCTGGCTGGGTCTTGGGATAACCCCGGGACGGCGGCCAAGCCCCAGCACCGGTAACCGCCTCACCGATAACCACAGCACC